TCTAACCTCTAATCATTCGGACTCCCCTGCTCTTATCCACGGCGCCAGTGAAAATTTGCAAACCATTCCTAAAGAAATGGATGAGTTAAAAACCAAAACAGCAACGTTGACGGTTTACACCTGGCCACTAACAAAATTGAGCCATTGACTAATCTGCTGCAAACGCCAAGCAGTACAATTGAAGAACACCTAATTCCTGTAGGTGAGTTTGTCGATACGATAGCCACAGAAGTCTTCAATAGGGTGCGGTGTTCAAAAATTGCGGTAGTCTTAAATATTTCCGACAAAATTGCCATAACTTTCATACGGAATATTTTGTTTCGAGCTAGCGGTATGACTAATGTGCCGTGCGTTTGCATGAGGATGAGGAAAAGATTCAGCACCGCCTCTGTCCCATACTGTTTCAATCTGCAGATGCTCTGATTATCATAGAGTTCATCGGAAAACGTGAACGATTTTCTGCCAAAACTATGTTTAAGTCCCTAAAAGTTGCCGCAGATAAAACCCCACTATAAAGAGAACTCTGGCGAAGACAGACAATTTCTCCCGTACACCGAGAACCGCCATTCAACTGCTCTTTCCCCTTACTTATGAGTAGAAGGATTTTAGCGAGTATTTTTGTCGTCGACAATCACAGCCGGCACAATTCGGACTAAGTCCACTAACTATCCGGAAAAGCCACCAGCCGGCCGTTGTCGCCCTATTGGGGCTCGTCGCAGATGCAGTGGTGCGCAATCCTTCGGTCCTCTCTACGAGAGCGCATCGAACCCATTGACTGCTCGTGGCTCTCGGTCGACCAACTAAGACCGGTTGTGTATGCAAACTGAGCCATGGAGTGACGGTAGCAGACCAATCACAGAACTTGTTAGTTGATTGCGATATCAGCCCGTACCCACTCCTCCACTGTCTCGCATGCAGGGCACTACTTGCCATGCATATGACAGACACGCGGTTGGCCTTCCGGTGGTCACAGACTTCTCCAGGCTACTCGCGGCAGGCTATGAATCGAACATGCAATCTTTATGTGAAATCCGTAAGGGCAAATTTGTACTACTTATGAGTAGAAGGATTTTAGCGAGTATTTTTGTTCGTCGCCAATCAGCCGACAATCGGCTAAGTCCACTACCCTATCCGGAAATCCCCTACTTCCTATTCTCCCAAAATTTTCAACTATCCTATATATCTCCAACCAACTTACCACACCTTATTCACTCCCCACCCCCCATCCATCCTATTCAATATCCCCCACTCCCTAATATACATCACCATATCCCATTCTTCCTCTTCCTTATCCTCCCCACCCTCCAATACTTCAAGACCTCTCGCACACTTCTACAATCCCCCTTCCCCCACCACCCCATCCCATCCTTTTCCACCATTATCCACATGTGCCCCTGTGTGTGTGTCATTTATCTAAATATCCACTCTCACAATTATTCTAGTTATTCGCTTCCCAACCCTCTCCCCCACCCACCCTTCCCCTCCACCCCTACTACCCACCCATCCCCCCAACCTCCCCCCCCCATAATAAACCCCCTAATGTACACCCACCCCGCATCACCTCTATCACCCACCCACCCCCCATAAGCCCCCCCCCTATTTAATATGTATTTTTAATCTAATTCGATCCCTACCCACAGATACCCCCCCCCTTACCTCGCCCCCCCCTCTCCCCCCCCCCTCTCTCAACTGTGTGTTATTTATTTAATTAATTCTCCTATTATCTTTTGTTCGTCGCCACTCCAGCACGGACAATTCGGATATAGTATAACTATGTCGTGAGAGTGTGTGGAATACTATAGTTATTAGCTCTGGTAGTGAATCTTTGGGTTTATGTTGATGAGGTGTGAATTGGGGCCTGTTGTTTATCGCAACGCTACTCGAGGGGTTTTATGTGTATGGCTCGTGTTACTGATTGTGTGTGTGTATCTAGTGTTATCCCTCGGCGCGCATTTGATTTTAGAGAGAGATAGTGAACAATGTATCCCTGTCGGTCCTCTACGGAGGATTCTCGAAAACCCGGAACTGACTGCTTGTGGCTCTGTGGTGTTGCCAATAGAGCACGTTGTGTTATGCAACTGAGCCATTTTTTTTCTTGGGAGGAACGGGTTTTATCATTTTTTTCTAGCCCTCCCGCCCCCCGGTCCATGAACCTATCGTCGTATTTTGGTTGTGTTGTGGTTGTGGTGATATGGTATTGGGGACTGCTTCGATTTTAAAGTTGGTAAAATTATCGAAAAATTGTGTTTGGTGTTATTTTATATTTGTTCGTGTTGGTTGTATATAGTTGATGCGATATAAGCCCGAACCTTCCCTACACTAGCCCCTTGCAGGGGCACCCCTGGCCTATGCATATGGACCAGCGGTTGAGACACCCTCACTTACCGGTTTGTTATGGGTCAGGAGACGCTGCCACAACGGAGCCGTTCGGCAGCTGTTAGCTCATGTAGGGCAGTGTCGGCAAGAGCCTGATATCGTGTGCACTGAGAGAATTAAGAGAGCGGATGTAGGATTTAGAGGCTTAGCTCAGCTAGCTATGATAGCGAAATGGTGAAGTAGAGCCTATTGATATCATCGTCTATAATCTTTTTGTATATTGTAATTGAATCTCGACAGTCAGTACTGAGCCAATTTTCTATGAGATATCCGTAAAATATTAAAAGGGGCAAAATTTGTACTACTTTATGAGTAGAAGCGATTTTAGCAGAGGTGTTTGAGTATAAAGTAAGGTATTTTGTGTTCGTTTCATGTGCCGAAAGCAGCGTCAATTCGGAATTAAGTCCACTACCTATCCGGGATAAGAACAATTAATTTAATTATTTTTAATTTTGTTTTTAATCTTTTTTATTATTATTATTATTATTTTCCATTTTTCTTTCTTTTTATTTTACTATGCAACAGCACGGTTGGTGTCAGGCGTGACTGGGGTGCGGTCACGGGTTGGGCTTTTTTTCTCCGTTTTCTTTCGTTTTTTTTTTTTTCGCGTTTTTTTCGCCCTATCCTTTTGGGGCTCGGTTTCAGTGTGTGCGCACCTCATCCTTTGGCCCCTCTACGTGAGGAGGATCGAATAATCGAACCATGACTGGCTGTTTGTACTTGATAGTTGGCTTGGTGTTGTGCTGTTTGTTTTTGCCAACTAGCCCGTTGTTGGTATGCAAACTGAGCCATGGAGGACATGGACCGACGGTTTTTTTTTTGCCCCGTTACCATCACGAACGACGTTGGGGGTGTTGTGTCGGGTGTGGGGTGTGGTGGGTGGGTGGAGGAGAAGGGGTGGTATGGGTTTGACCCCGATCCCATATTCCTCCAATGCCCCCCATGCAGGCGGGGGGGGGGGGGGGGCGGGCGTGGGGCGGGCGGGGCGTGGGGCTACACTTACCTGCACATCTTGCCAATGTTTTAGATTTTTGCATTATGACCCTGCTGCGCGGTTTATTGGCCTTCCGGGTCTTGGTGTTTTGTCCAGGACTTCCGGCTACGGCAGAGCTATGAATCGAAATAGCATTTTTATGGAATCCGTATATGTAAGGGCAATTTTGATACTACTATGAAGTTTAGATAGGAATTTATTAGCCGTAGTATTTTTGTTCTCGTCGCAACTCAGCCGACATTTTCGGATAAGGCCCACTACCTAGCGGAGAAAAAAATAAGCACCAGAGACGGCCCCATCGTTTTGCGTGTTTAGAGCGGTTCGCCCCTTGTATTTGGGGGCTCAGTCCTCTCATGGTTCTGGTCTCGTCAGTGGTGCGCCATTCCTTCGGTTCTCACCTTCGGGCCCTCTACGGAGGATCGAACCCATGACTTGCTAGTGGTTGTGCCAATCTAGCCCGTTGCGTTATGCAAACTGGAGGAGACTCTGAGGCCATGGAGAGGACGGTAGGCACGGCCGACCCAGCAAGAACATCACGAATTGTTAGTTTACGTTGGATTGCGATCGTTTTTATAGCCCGACGCCCCATCCTCCCACTGCCTTGGCAGGGGCACCCCCCTACTGTCTGGGGCCCCCCCTCGCCATGCAGTTGTCAGCGTGGTGAGACACAGCGGTTTGTGTTGCGCCCCCTTCCGGTGTCAGGACTTCCCGGCTGACTCCGGCAGCTGCATGAATCGACCATAGCATTTTTATGGAATCCGTAAGGGCAACATTTTGTACTACTTATGGGTAGAAGGATTTTTAGCGAGTATTTTTGTTCGTCGCAATCAGCCGACAATTCGGATAAGTCCACACTACCTATCCGGAAAAGCACCAGACGGCCGTTTCGCCCTATTGGGGGCTCGTCATGCAGGTGTATGTTGCGCCCCACAAATCTTCGGGACCTCTATCGGTGGATCGGTATCATGGTCGGGTGGGGCAGGGGCGGGCCTCGGGGGGGGGGTGCCGTGTTGTGTGTGCGTTCTTGGGTTGGGTGTGCCGCGTTTGGGCTGTTGTTGACATTAACTATGTGTACGCCCCGTGGTGTTGGTGCACGTTGATGTTGGGCGTCGTTGCGTTCTGTTGTGTTTGGTTGTTTGCCGTCGGTGCCCGTGTGTGTTATGCTACGGAGCCTTGGAGGACGGTGTAGCCCCCCCGATTCCACCACCAATCACGGAATTTGTTTGTTTTAGGTTGATTGTGTTTTGTGCGATTGATTAGCGACGATCGATTTATTAGCCCGACCCATCCTCCACTGCCATGCAGGCACCTGCCATGCAGATGACAGCGGTTGGCCTTCCGGTGTCAGGACTTCCCTGCTACGGCAGCTATGAATCGACATAGCATTTTTATGGAATCCGTAAGGGCAAATTTGTACTACTTATGAGTAGAAGGATTTTAGCGAGTATTTTTGTTCGTCGCAATCAGCCGACAATTCGGATAAGTCCACTACCTATCCGGAAAAGCACCAGGACGGCACGGCCGTCAGCCACCAGACAGAGACGGCACACGCCACGCACGGACGTCTGATTCATCACTGAAGATATATATGATACTAGTAGATCACGGACGCTCTCGGCCCAGGGGATGTATGTCGGATCGGCCGGACCGCCACGGCAGGGGGGAGGGGGGGGGTGGAAGTGGGGGGGAGGGGCGGCGGGGGCAGGCGGGGGGGCCGGTGGGACTGGGGGGGGAGAGGGGGGGGGGGGGGTGGGGGGATGGGGTCCGCGGGGGGAGCGCGGGAGGGGGGGGGCGGCGGGGGGGGGGGGGGAGCGCGGGGCGGGGAGCGGGGGGAGGGCGGGGTGGGCCGGGGGCGAGGGGGGGCGGCTGCGGGGTCCGGCGGGGGTGGGGGGGGCGGGGCGGCGTTTGGGCGGGTGGGGGGGAGCGCCGGGGGGGGTTGGGGCGGGTGTGGGGGTGTTTATTTTACGACATGTTGGGGGGATGCGGGGAGGACCTCAGGCATGGGGGGGGCGAACTGCGAGAAGGAGGGACCGCAGTCGGTTGGTGAGGTTTATGTTTTAATTGGAGAACGGAGTAATGCGTATAAATTCGTTTTTACGATTCGAAAAACCAATGATGCTTGCTAGTGGCCTTGCTTGGTGTGCCATACTAGCCCCGTTCCACCGTGTTGTGTTTATGCAACTGAGCCAAATTGGAGGGAAAACCGGTAGCCCCTCCCGCCCCGAACACCACGAATCCTCCCCCCCCCCCACCACAACGAATCCACATTCACACTCCACAATACAATCCCCCCCCCCCCCCACGCTACCGCCCCCCCCACCCCCCCGTCACCCCCGATTCACCCCGAAACCTTTTAGCGAAAACCACCCCCGACATCACGACTTTGTTGGTTGAGTTTGTTTTGCTATCGATTATAGCCCCGGACCCATTATACACTCCACTGCCATGCAGGCACCTGCCATGCAGATGACAGCGGTTGGCCTTCCGGCGTCAGGACTTCCCGTTTACGGCAGCTATGAATCGACATAGCATTTATGGAATCCGTAAGGGCGAATTTATATTACTTATGAGTAGAAGGATTTTAGCGAGTATTTTTGTTCGTCGCAGTCAGCTGACAATTCGGATAAGTCAACTACCTATCCGGAAAAGCACCAGACGGCCGTTTCGCCCTATTGGGGCTCGTCAGTGGTGCGCATCCTTCGGTCCTCTAGTGAGGATCGAACCCATGACTGCTAGTGGCTTGTGCCAACTAGCCCGCTGCTTATGCAACTGAGCCATGGAGGACGGTAGCCGACCACCACGAATTGTTAGTTAACTGCGATATAGCCCGACCCATCCCCCACTGTCACGCAGGCACCTGCCATGCAGATGACAGCGGTTGGCCTTCCGGCGTCAGGACTTCCCGTTTACGGCAGCTATGAATCGACATAGCATTTATGGAATCCGTAAGGGCGAATTTATATTACTTATGAGTAGAAGGATTTTAGCGAGTATTTTTGTTCGTCGCAGTCAGCTGACAATTCGGATAAGTCAACTACCTATCCGGAAAAGCACCAGACGGCCGTTTCGCCCTATTGGGGCTCGTCAGTGGTGCGCATCCTTCGGTCCTCTAGTGAGGATCGAACCCATGACTGCTAGTGGCTTGTGCCAACTAGCCCGCTGCTTATGCAACTGAGCCATGGAGGACGGTAGCCGACCACCACGAATTGTTAGTTAACTGCGATATAGCCCGACCCATCCCCCACTGTCGCGCAGGCACCTGCCATGCAGATGACAGCGGTTGGCCTTCCGGCGTCAGGACTTCCCGTTTACGGCAGCTATGAATCGACATAGCATTTATGGAATCCGTAAGGGCGAATTTATATTACTTATGAGTAGAAGGATTTTAGCGAGTATTTTTGTTCGTCGCAGTCAGCTGACAATTCGGATAAGTCAACTACCTATCCGGAAAAGCACCAGACGGCCGTTTCGCCCTATTGGGGCTCGTCAGTGGTGCGCATCCTTCGGTCCTCTAGTGAGGATCGAACCCATGACTGCTAGTGGCTTGTGCCAACTAGCCCGCTGCTTATGCAACTGAGCCATGGAGGACGGTAGCCGACCACCACGAATTGTTAGTTAACTGCGATATAGCCCGACCCATCCCCCACTGTCACGCAGGCACCTGCCATGCAGATGACAGCGGTTGGCCTTCCGGCGTCAGGACTTCCCGTTTACGGCAGCTATGAATCGACATAGCATTTATGGAATCCGTAAGGGCGAATTTATATTACTTATGAGTAGAAGGATTTTAGCGAGTATTTTTGTTCGTCGCAGTCAGCTGACAATTCGGATAAGTCAACTACCTATCCGGAAAAGCACCAGACGGCCGTTTCGCCCTATTGGGGCTCGTCAGTGGTGCGCATCCTTCGGTCCTCTAGTGAGGATCGAACCCATGACTGCTAGTGGCTGGGATCGTGGTTTTGTGCCTTGTGACCGCCCCCCGGACACAACTAGACCCGAAGAAAAGGGAGGGAAAGCTGGAGGGGTGGGATCCGGTTGGTGAAGTGGGTATAAGGGGGGTGTAGTGTTTGAGTTCGGTTACCTGGGAAGGGGGGTGGGG